TGAAAGACTGGTCTCCTCGTTAGGAGAGGTGATAAAAGCACCCCGAAAGCCACCCCGCTAGCCAGAATCCCGGATGCTCCAGTCTATTGGTGGGGAACGGCACCTGCTGGCTGGACCGTATATGAAGTTTACTCTTATGACAATGCAGAGGTGTGCTTATATGTCCATAATACTCCATATATGTGCATGCTGTGTGTGTTGTAGATTTTTTTCATCACAACAGCCACTGTTCCACCAAGATGAGTAGATCCAAGATGGAAGCAGTGTTATAGCTGTATTGCGGACGATGAAGAGCAGTTAAAATTTCGAGCCAATCGAACAATCAAACATTAAACTTCTATAGCAAGCAACATGGAGCAGAATAAAATGGAATGAAATTCCCTTTATAAGTTTATAATACTTTATATCCCTTTCGTGACTATCTTTACTTTGGCTTTCTTTGCCGTACCCCTTTTTTTGTGTTCTTGCAGCTCCCTTTTTCCTTTTTACTGTGCCTCTCATGCCCAAGGCTGGCCACGTCGATTGTGGTTGACCCCGGGGACCGCCAGCCGCTCGCATCCCCATTTGCCATAACGGCCCACTTGCACGTTATGAAAGAAGTCGGAGTAAAGGGGGAGGTATACTCCTGTTCATTTCTCTTTCTGTGTGTGTGTGTATATGTGTCCACACATGTATTTTGTGAATGGAGAGAGAGAGAGAGAGAGAGAGAGAGAGAGAGAGAGAGAGAGAGAGAGAGAGAGATTTGCAGGTGGTTTGTATCTCTTTGCTCGTTCTGATGTTGCAGCATGGTACATGAACACTCTTTCGCTTCCAACCCCTCTGCTCCTCTGCCCCCAGGCCTGATGGATGCCACGGACTTCGTCGGCGAGAGAGGCGTGTGGATGAAGCAGTTCAGTTGTCAGTTGGAGAGAAGCAGCTTCAATCACGACGGCGATTAGGTGATGGCAGGCTCTTTTTGGTGCTATTGTTCAACGAGTGGCCAGCGTACTCTATTCCAAATGCCAGATTTGACATGTCGACTTGCCGGGCAGGGTCAGCGCACATCAGAGCACACACAAGGTCAGCGTCCTTGCCTGGCCACCTGCATTGAGTGATTTGTCGACTGCTTGATGTTATATGCTGTTCTCCTTGGCTTGGCTTGGCTTGGCTTCGCTTGGCTTGGCTTGGCTTACGGCAACCTTAGGCCTTCCTAAATGAAGCCATCTTCTTAGCACAGGCGTGGAACGCTTGGGTCACGGGGTTTCTATTTAACTGCTTTGGGACTCGGTAATTAGTAATTAATAATTATTGACTCTCCCCTCTTTATATCATAGTAGTTTAAAGTTTAAAGTTTAAAGTTTTTTTACACTGGTCATTTCAAGTGTCCCTCTCTGAGGTGGTTGACAAGACAAGCATTGAAAACAACTCTCTCCACCATCCATTCATTATCGCCACTGCTTGTTGTTGTCATCATATATGACTATGTTTCTGTCATGGCCGCTACCGTCGTCGATAACAATAGCAAGACTCAGATTAGCCGTCTCGTCGTGTTCATGTGGGGTAAGTATTGCTGACTCAGGCAAGGAAGAGTGTGCTCAATTGCGCGTGTACATTTGTACATGGTTAGGGGATGTAAATTCACGTAATGCATTACCTGCCACGCAGGGGATATCCCTGGACTCGGTGGGACAGTGGGACCAATAAATGCCTCCTTTAGCGGACGACAAAGGTAATAGATAGATCGATAGATCGATAGATAGATCGATGGATAGATAGATAGATAGGATGCTTGTGGTCCCTGCAAGCGCTGTTGCTGGGGACGCTGATTTTGTGATCTTGCTCGTGGACTAGGATCAATAGATACGGAAACCCCATCGCAGATGAAGTCATGACAAGAGCTCTGACAGGGTTCGGTATCCTTTTACCTGTGGCTATGTTAAAACAATGTACATTGAGATATTTGTTTGTGCAGCTTGATGGTCCTCTAGAGCAGGGTGCTTCGTTTGTCGAGATGTGTGTTTGTGTGGATGGAGACGTGAAGGGAACATGAAACAGGGAACCGTTTGTATGTTTGCGAGAGACTGAGTGTTTGTGTTCGTGTGTGTGTGAGAGAGAGAGAGAGAGAGAGAGAGAGAGAGAGAGAGAGAGAGAGAGAGAGAGAGAGAGAGAGAGAGAGAGAGAGAGAGAGAGA